CGGGACGCGGGCACCGCAGCCGGGTGACGGCGAAGTCCCCCGGGGCATCGGAAGGGCTCGGAGGCCGCCCCAGCAGGGCGGGGAGGGGCCGAGGGGCTCCCCTCATCCGTCGCCGGTCGCTGGTGGTGGCCCGAGCCCTGCGCCCGAGGAGGGAGGTCAGCTGAGGGTGCGCCGCGCGCCAGGATCGTGTCCCCTCCAGGTCTTCCCCTTCGTTTTTGATGAGTGAACTGAGCTCCTAAGAGCGGACTTGTCTCTGGGCCTGTCACCAACCACTGGGGACAGGGCTGGGGTTGGGGAGCAAAATGACCCTTCTAGGGTTGGTGGCGGTGGTCTCGCCGTTACTAGGGGGCAAAGGGCAGGCAGGAGTGGCACCCAGATCATCAGGCAGAGGCAACTGGGACCATTTGCTGTCCCCACCGCCTGTGGCCTCTGGCCCTGCCCGCACAGGCCTGGAGACCTCCCGGACCCCATTTGGGAGCTATCCCCTCCTCCGCATTCCTGGTCTGCACAGCCCGCTGACACTGCCCGTGGTCCCCTGCTCAGTAATCGTCCTGAGGTTTGTTAGCTCCTGGGTGGGACGAGGCTCGTGCCCTCCTCCCCTGTCTGGCTCTTCTGGCTCAACAGAGCTCAGCACAGCCACAATATGCTGGTGGTGACCCACGAGCAGAGGACAGCCTGAACCGGATGGACTGCATCTGGCCAAGTGTAACAGGAGGGTGCAGGTGGGCACTCGGTCTCACAGATGAGGCTTGGGCCTCCAGGGTGTGGACAGCAGACTAGGGACCCCTAGAAGTTTCCAGAAGGCTCTTGGCCTCAAATCAAATCAGCATAGCAGTATGGTGGGTTTGGCCTGTGCTGGGTGCCGAGGGGCTGCAGAGCAGAAAGCCACAGCCTCCACTTCTGGGAGAGGCCAGGGAAGGGCCCGGCCATCAGGCTGCACAGCAGTGCCAGGGCTCGGGCCTGCGAGGAGCCTGGGTCTGTCCCCTAAGAGTCTCCTGCTTCCACTATGCTAACCTTGGTTAGCTCAGCTGGGACCCTGTGGAACATTTCACAACTTCCCAGCCCTCAGAGGGAGATGACAAAGGTGGCCACCACTGGGCAGACAGGCATGCAGCCACACAACCCCATTGTGGCGCTTGGCTCCACGGGCACTTCCTGCCTTCACCTGCACCTGCCTCCAGGTGGGCTGGGCACTTCAACATCCACCACCAGGGGAGGAACGGAGGGTAGAGACATGGAAACAGAGAGGAAAGCGCCAGCCTGCACCTGCTCTGTCCACCTCCATCCCCTCCCCCACCACTGCCGCTGAGCTTCTGAGGCTCAGCCAGAAACATGGTGACCACACTCATAGACCCTGCAACACCAACCCTGGGCTGTACGATGGGGCCAGGGGGGCCACGAGGCCTGGAAAGCAACATCCCCCACCATGAAGCAGTACCTCCCACCCCGCCTCCAGGCTCCCTGACAGCCCTGAGCTGATGCCACAGCCATGATGCTATGGTAGTGGGAGGCTGGTTCCTGGCACTTCTCTGGGCCCCTCCAGTCTCCCTTTGGTGCACACCTACTGTGTGCCAAGCTCTTGCTTGGGATAGACCTATGTCTGCCCACCTGAGCCTCCTAGCAAACCTGTGGCATTTGTGCTGTGGCTACCTGCACGTTGTGAGGAAACTGAGGCCCAGAAGGTTATGGGGCTTGCTGGGGGCACCCCTGCTCCCTCCTGAAGGAACCTGGGTCAGGCCCAGCTCCAGCCTAGCTTCTCGGTTGCTCTCCCACTGGGTCCCCAGTTCCCACCATGCACCATGGGATTCCCCCAAATCCCATGAGGGGTTTGGGGCATGCAGATCCTCCAGCTGCTTCCAGGGCAGCTCTCAGGTTGGCCCTACCACCCCTGCTCCTGCCAGGCTTGGCACCCCCACCCCCCAACGGCCCAGTTCCCAGCCTGGGCCTCCTGTGTTGGGCTCAGTTTTGGGCCCTGGGCCTGAGCTGGAGGCAGTGGGCTTCTTAGCCACCTCGACCTGTCCCCCACTTTGGTGTCAGTGCCATGAGGGGCTATCTTGATGCCAGGATCTGAGAGCACTCTTCCACAGTGCCACCTCCTAGGACTCAGGACCAGTCCTGCCCACAGACAGCATCCACCCCACTGTCCCAGACTCATACCCATGTAGTTTCCCCAAAGCCATCCACGTGGAAAGGGCCTCCTCTCAATGACCAGGGCACATCCCCTGCAGGCACCAGCCCAGCCAAATGCAGGCTCATTCAGGGACATGGAGAGAGTCCCCTGCTCTCACCCCTCAGGCTCCCCTCCTCTGCACTGTCCCCCAATCTCCTGCCCAGGGATCACTGGGCGCAGATGCTCAGGGAGTTCCCAGTGAGGCCCCTTTCCCACCTCCATGCAGCCCTCTTGCACACCTCTCTCCACGGTCAGCCCACAGCCCAGGCTGGTGCTCTGTGGTCCCTTGCTGTGTGGGTTAGGAATGGGTTTGGCTGTATGTAAGAGAAAACCGGAATGAACAAGAATTGAGAGGACACTATTTTTTCTTGTGTAAGGGAATCCTAGCCAGTGGCAGTCTTGGGTGGTCATGACACCATCACAGAGTCCTCAGAGACCCAGCTCCATGCAGCTGTCAGCTGTGCTGTCCCTGGGCTGGGCCCTCCTCCTCATGGACCCAAATGGAAGCCAAGGCTCCAGCCACCACATCCTCACTCCAGGCAGCAAACAGGAAAGAAAGGAAAGGGGTGGCCCCCTCCTTCTAAGGAGCTTTCTGGGAAGCCCAGCAACACAGCGGCTCATACCCTACTGGCCACAGCTCAATCATGTGAGCGCCTGGCCGAGGGGGCAGGGGATGCGGTCCTCTGCTCCTGTGGCCTCTTCTTCGGCCTGCCCTGGTGCCCAGTGCCATGTACGCATTCCCCAGGCTCCATCCTTGGTCACACAGGCTCAGGTGGGAGCTTGGGGCAGGGAAGGCTTCCTGGAGGGGATGACATTATTTGGAGTTCTCAGTTCTGTGTAGCTAACCCTACTTCTGATACCCTGTCTCTATAAGAGCCTGTCCACCCCAGCACTGAGCTGTGTCCCATGCCCTGCTGGCCCTGACACCTACTCTGTTGTTCCCCTGCTGTGCCCTGGGCTGCCTGGCACAAGAGAACCCCTCCATCATTTGCTTCGCCAGCTGCCCCCGTGGCCCCAGGATCAAGCCTGAGCCCTTGGCTGGCACCTGCCCACTCCATGCCCAAGCCACCTGCCCTGAAGGACATCCTGTCCACAGAACCTCTCTAAGCACTGCCTCTACCCTCCAAGATCCTCCCCCCAGGCCCAAATGCCCCCGCTGGCACTCTGCCTGCAATGTTCTTCCCAGGCCTCCAGCTTCCAGCGTCCACCCTGTTCAGGGTCACCTGCTGCTCACCTGTGCACCTCGGTGGATGGTACATGAATGAATGGCCACCTCTTCCCACTCAGCAGACTTGGACCATCCTGAGTGGCTGCCTGCAGTGTGCACCTCACAAGGTTCCTGCAGCTACCCTGACCTGTGGCTGGCAGCGTATGGCTCCCATGGTGCCTGCTCTCTCTCCTGTGGGCCAGGGACAGTCCTGTTTCCAAAGCCTGGCTGTAGGGATATTGGGAGGAGTGGGTGGGTCGCTGGCCTCCCTGCACCTGTCCTGCCTCTAAGCAGTCCAAGCCCAGCCTCAGGACAGGCTAAACCCCAGTGACCAGGGCTGGGGGATGAGGGGGGTTGGGGTGTGGCAGGGAGCTCAATGGAGGCCAGGAGCAGTGGAGGAGCAGCTGCTGAGACTGGGAGGGCTGGGCGAGTGAGTCTGCAGGGTCTTCCCAAGGTCCTGAGACCACCCTCAGCATCCTTAGGACCCCTAAGTCCATCTTGGGCCATCCAGGCTAGGCCACTTCCCCACATGGGAGGGTCATACTCTCCTGCAGGTGGCTCCTGTTGGGAATTGGGGTATAGACCTGCTGGCTCCTAACACACCTACTGGTCAGGCCATGCCAGGCTCCCTTGCCCGACTCCTGGGAACCTAAACCACATCGTGACGAGCACAGGTAGGAAGGGGGCACTGAGGGCATCAAGGGAGGGGGCAGCATACTCTGCACCTGGGCCTCTGAGGAAAGCGGGGCCCACCCAGCACCCCCTTAGCAAGTTGCTGGATGGGGCCCTGGGTTCAAGAGCGGTGGAGCCTGCTCCCTGGGTGCAATCCCCCTGAACTCATTGGCCAGAAGGGCCAGCTAAGCCCCCACCGTCCCACAGAGCCCTCTCACTCCTGCCAGTCAGACACACACATACACACAGAGCCGCTGGCTTGTCTTTTAATAAATATTCATGAAGATTCATTAAAAGATCTGATGCAAGAAACACCAGGGTAACAAATTAGTCCTGAATTAAATTTTACAAAACACCCTCTCCTCTTCCAACTTTACCTCAGGAGAACAGAAATATAAAAGGGGCTTTTGACACAGAAATGCATTACAAAGGTACAGTAATTAAAACAGTATGGTAACAACAGATGACTAGGCAGACAGGCCAGAAAGTCCAGACATAACCACTGTACACAGGACTTTAATGTATGATAGAGGTGGTCTCCCAAATCTGCAAAAAATATGAATTCATTAATAAATGACAAAGGGATGACTGGACAGCTATTAGAAATAAAAAATCGTATTTCCTGGCTCCATCTCCTATCACAATGAATTATAAGGAGATCAATGATTTAAATGTGGAAATGAAACCCATAAAAGAACTAGAAGAAAACATGGGAGAATGTTTTAATATAACCTTCGAGTAAGGAAGGGCATTCTAACTATAACATAAAACTCAGGAGCCATGAAAAATTGATAATTCAACTCCATAAAAAACCTACACGCAAAAAATACCATCAGCATAATCAGAAGGCCACCCAAAGAAATATCTGCAACATGTCACGTGGAGCTAATTTTCTTAATGAATAAAGAGCTCCCACAACTTAATGAGAAATAAACTGATAAGCTAATAGAAAAACAAGCAAAGGATAAGGACATACAATTCATGGAGAAGGAAAGCAACAAATTCTTAAACAAATAAAATACTTCATATCTCACTCATAAGAGGAATGTGAAGCAAACATGTTAGATACCACCTGTTCATGCTGGCAAACGTCAACACGCTCACTAACAACTGGGTGCGTGAGGTGGGTAAGTGTGCTCTCCACCGCTACTGGGAGACCAGACTGGTGCCAGTTCTAACAGCAATGCTGCAACATCTATCAAAATCATAACCACATAAGCACTTGGACTCAACGATTCCACCCCTGGGAATCTAACCCACAGATACACGTATACATATGTGAAGAGACAAAAGTACAAGAATATCTGCTGCAGGACTGCCAGGCACAGGAAAGGACTAGAGAAAGCCTTGGCAGGATGGCATACACGAGTGCAGTGACCAGCCCACACAAGGGAATATCGCATGGACAGAAGACAGGGAGGAGGCACTTTCCCAATGGCAGAGTAAGGACCTCTAAAGCCCATTCCTCTGCAATGCCACAGAACACTGGAAAAATACACGAAATCAACTTTTTCAAAAGCCTAGAAATTAATAAAAGGCTAGTAACAATCCAAGGAGTGTTTATTCAAGAAAAATGATCGAATTTTGGTAAGAACAGTGAGCTCTGTGGCATTTTACCTTGTGCTGTTCCTACTTCACTTGACCCAGCAGCCTCACATCCACGGTGGCCTTTAAAACCAGCAGCTGAGACAGAGCACACCCAGGGTCCTCGGGCAGAAGCCAAGGGCAGCATTCCCAGGAGAACACCAAAAATACCACTTCCACACAGACGGCCCACCACAGCCATGGCTGCCGCAAAAGCGACGAATACCACGGCAGTAGCCCCAGCCACCATGCAGGTGGCCCGCCAGACACTCAACTACATTGACACAAGGAGTGTCATCAGCAAAGACCAAAAAAAGAGGCCATCTCTTTCCTCAAAGCCCACTCTGGAGTAACAGAAGTAACTGCTCTGTCAGATGACCAGACATCAACATACATACACCAGAAACATGAAATCCCAAGAAAATATGACACCACCAAAAGAATACAGTAGTTCTCAAATACCAGACCCTGTAGAGCAGGAAACCCTTGAAATGACTGAAAGGCAATTCTGAGCAACAATCTTAAAGAAACTCACTGAGACAGGAGATAGATAGGAGAAGACTCAGACAACACAATGAAACAAGGAAAAAAAGTCCAGGATATGGAGGAAATTTACAAAGAGATTAATACCTTTAAAAATTGTAGCATTTTAATATAGATGTTTACATGTGTAAATTTTCTTCTAAGCACAGCATGAAACCTGCATCCCATAAATTTTGATGGGTTGTGATTTGATTTTTATCTCAAAGTTCTCTCTAATTTCCCTGTGATTTTTCTTTTCACCCATTGTTTATTTAGAACAGTGTTGTTTAATTTCCACTCATTTGTGAATTTTCTAAATTTCCTTCTGTTATTCTGGTCAGAGAACATATATTTTATGATTTTAGTCTTTTTAAATGTATTAAGACTTGTTTTGTGGCCAAAAATAAAAAATAATTAAAATAAATAAATAAATAAATAAAACCAACAGCCTAGCAGCCACTGGAAGGGGAGGACCAGGTCTGGAGCTCCCCCAAAGCCCCATCCCCAGAGAGCTGCCACTATCTGACTTGTTTGGCTAATACCTGGAAAAGCCCCACCCATAGGGCTCATCTCTATTTGGCATGACCCAGCTGGTCTATGGTGGTGGTGGGAGGGTTGTCAAAAACAAGCAGCAGTATTGAGGTGGCCACACAAGTTGGGTCAAACAAGACGTCGACCAAAAATCTGAAAAGGAAGATCTGAGGAATGAGATGCCCATGGTGGTCTTTGCAAAGCCCTGACATGTTCCTGGAGACACAGAATGTCACATGTGCATGTTTGCAGGGCTGTGTACGTGCCCAGGAAGGGCCTGAGGGGTGCTGAGCGCTCACCTCTGGCTGACTTGGTGGCTCTGTGCAAGTAGGAAGTAAAGGCTAAGGCAGAGTTGGCACCCATCTACTGAGGATGAAGGCATGCCCAACATACATGCACACACGCACACACTCATAGTTTGTCAGCAAAAGCTGTAAGGCTTACTTGTTCAAAGCACTTAAGAAAATCTCTGTCCAATCATGGCTGACCACTAAGCTAACCATGCAGACACTGCAGTGGCTGCATCTGACAAAGTAAAGGTTTTATAAAATTAGCCCAGGGAAGACACTGAACAAACAGTAACAACAATAACAAACCCTGTGGAGGGGGATCTGACGTCCAGAGTTGCATGTATGACTTACCATGTCCAGTTTTCAGGAAAAAAAAATTATGAGACACAACAAACACTGTGTGTTTCCTTGGCCCATACACAGAAAAAAGGCTGTCAACAGAAACTGAATAAGCCCTAATGTTAAACTTACTAGACAAATACTTTGAGTCAGCTACCATGTTTAAAAAACTAAAGGAAACCATGTCTAAGGACAAAGTTTGAGAATGATGTTTCATTAAACAGAGAATATCAGTAAAAATATAGAAATTACACAAGAGAACCAAATAGAAATCCCAGAGTAGAGAAGTACAACTGAAATAAAAAATTCACCAGAGTAATTCAACATCAGATTTTAGTTGCCAAATTAAGATCTGCAGCCTTGAAGACAAGTCAATTGAGATTATCCATTCTGAGGAACAGAAAAAAGAATGAAGAAAAATGAACAGAGTCTCAGAGAGCAGCGGACACCACCAACCAAACCAACATACACATAAAGGGAGTCCAAGGAGAGGGGAGAGAGAGAAGGGCAGGAAGAATATGTGCAGAAGTAATGGCCCAAACCTTCCAAATTTGATGAAAAACATTGATCTTTACATCTGAGAAGCTTAATGAATTCCACGTAAAATACATTCAAAGGGATCCATAGCTACACACATCACAGTCAAACTGTCAAAAGCCAAAGATGAGAAAAGAATGTTGAGAGGAGCAAGAAAAAAAGCAGCTCACTGGGGCATGCCGGTTGGCTCTGGCTCACTCAGAGCATGGTGCTGACAGGCCAGCTACAGGAAAACAGAAACAAAAAAACAAAACAGCAGCTGCCTGAGCACAGGGCATCTTCCACTATAGTAACAGCTGCTTCTCTGCAGAAGCCACGGGGGCCAGAAGGCAGGGGGATGGCACATTCCAAGGGCTGAAAGAAAAAGACTGCCAGGGCTGGCCCATGGCTCACTTGGGAGAGTGCGGTGCTCATAACACCAAGTCAAGGGTTAAGATCCCTTGCTGGTCATCTTTAAAAAAAAAAAAAAAAGAAAAGAAAAAAGGAAAAAGACTGTCAACCAAGAATTCTAAATCCAGCAAAATTACTTTTCAAAAGTGAAGGAGAAATTAAGACATTCCCAAGTAAACAAAAACGAGAGAGTTCATTGTTAGTAGACCTGCCTTACAAGAAACACTAAAGACACTAGCCCAGAATCCACTCAAGAGATAAAGAGCACTGGAAAAGGAAGCTGCAGAGCCAAACAACAGACAGTATGAACATACTTTTGTTCACAAACCTTTTCTTCTCCTATCTGATTTAAAAGACAACCACAGAAAAGAATAATTACAAAGCTAGCTGATGGGCTTGCAATCTGTAAAGACACAATTTGCATGACGAAAACAGCACAGAGGAGCGGGGAGGGCACAGGGTTACACTGCAGCAGAGTATTTGTACATTACTGGTTAGGTTGGTGTTAATCTGAACTGGATTGTTTTAAGATGTTAATTATAATATTCAGAGCAACTACTAAGAAAATAACTTGAAAAACAATAAAAGAGACAAAAAGGGAATTAAAATGTTACAGGGAATTAAATATCCATTTAACTAACAAGAAAAAAGTAAAGGAGGAATAGAAGAAGAAAGAGAATAAAGACATACAGAAAATAAACAGAAAAATGGCTGACATACGTCAGTAATGACACTGACTGTAAAAGGATTAAACACTGCTCTCAAGTAGCAGAGACTGGCAAAACAGATTAAACCCATGATCCAACTATGTGCTGTTTACAAGAAACACAATGAGACACAATGAAAATAAAAGGATGGAAAAAGATATACCATGCAAATACTAGTCAAAAGAGAGCTAAGTGCCTATACTGATATTAGACAAAAGAGACTTCAAGATGGAACTTTTACTAGAGACAAAGGACATGTTGTAATGATAAAAGGGCCCATCCAGCAGGAAGAAATATCAAATATGAACACAAGTGCACTTAACAACAGAGGCCCAAAATACATGAAGCAAAAACTGACAGAACTGAAGGGAAAAACAGTTAACTCAACAATAGTATTTGGAGACTTCAATACCCCACTTTCAGCAATGGTTGTAACAAATAGGCAGAAGAGCAAAAGGGAAAGAAAAGACTTAAACAACACTATAAACCAAATACACCTAGCAGACATCTATAGGACACTCCACCCAACAACAGCAGAATAGACATTCTCATGGCATGTGAAACATTCTCCACAACAGAACATATGTGCCATAAAATAACTCTCAGTACATTTAAAAGGACTGAAATCATATAAAGTATTCCTTGCCCACAATGGAATAAGAAATCAATAACACAAGGAAATTGGGAAATTCACAAGTATGTGAAAATTAAACAAAAAATTCCTAAATCATCAATGGGTAAAAGAAGAAATCACCAGAGAAATTGGAAAACATTTTGATATTTTAAAAAAGACAAAAACATAAATACATAAATACAGTCATCCCTCAGTATCCTGAGGGATTGGTTCCAGGACTCCCACAGATACCAAAATCTGTGCAAGCTCAAGTCCCTTATATAAAATGGCATAGCATTTGCATATAACCTATGTACATCAATATACTTTAAATAATCTCTAGATTGCTTATAATACCTAATACAATGTAAGGGCTATGTAAATAGTTGTTATACTGTATTGCTTTTTATAATTTTTTTTATGATTGTATTGTTATTTTTTTGTGTTTTCTTCCCAAATGTTTTCCATCTGTGGATGGTTGAATCTGGGATGTGGAACCCATGGATATGGAGGGCTGACTGTATACCAAAAGTTATGGGATGAAGCTAAAATAATGCTTAGATGAAAACTTATAGCTGTAAGCATCTATATGAAAAAGAAAGATTCCAAATCAATAAACTAATCTACCATATATATATTTTTTTTTTTAAAAGATGACCGGTAAGGGGATCTTAACCCTTGACTTGGTGTTGTCAGCACCACGCTCTCCCACGTAAGCGAACCGGCCATCCCTATATGGGATCCGAACCCATGGCCTTGGTGTTATCAGCACCACACTCTACCGAGTGAGCCACGGTCTGGCCCCCTAATCTACCATATTAAGAAACAAGAAAAAGAAGAGAAAACTAAAGCCAAGGCAACCCAACAGAAATAATAAAGATTAGAGTGAAAATTAATAAAATAAAAAATAGAAAAATAAGAGAGAACAATCAAAACCAAAAGGTTTTTTTTTTTTTTTTTTTTTTTAAGTAGACCAATCAAATTTATAAATCTTTAGCAAGACTGACCATGGGAAAGAGGGAAAGAGAGAGAGAAAGAAGACTCAAATTACCAAAATTAGGAAATACTATAAACAATCATATGTCAACAAATTACAAAAAGTAACCTAGATGAAATGGGCAAGCTCCTAGAAAGACACAAACTACAGAAACTGACTCAAGAAGGAACAGAAAAATCCAAATAGACCTATAAGTAAAGATACTGAATTAGTAGTAAAAAGAATTCCTACAAAGAAAAGGACCAAACGACTTCACCGGTAAATTCCACTGAATCAAATAACCAACATCAACCCTTTACAAACTCTTTCAAAGGATAGGAAAGGAGGGAACACTTCCTGACTCAATCTATGAGGCCAGTAGTACCCTGATACCAAAGCCAGATGTCACAAGAAAACCACAGGACTGGTCTGTTAGCTCAGCTGGTTAGAGAGCAGTACTGATAACACTAAGATCAAGGGTTTGGACCCCCATACTGGCTACCCATCAGAAAAAAAAAAAAAAAGAAAGAAAGAAAGAAAAGAAGGAAAACTATAGACCAGTATCTCTTATGAATGTAAATGTAAAATACTACCAAACCAAACCCAGCAGCATATAAGAAGGATTACACACCACAAACAAGTGGAATTTGTCCCATGAATGTAAGGTTGGTCCAACATGTGAAAAGCAATTATTGCAATATACCATATCAACAGAGTAAAGGACAAAAATCACATGATCATCTCAATAGATACAGAAAAAGCATCTGACAATATTCAACCCTCATGACACAAGCACTCAACCAACTAGGAGTGGAAGGGACTTCTCTAACCTAACAAAGGGCATCTACAAATCCCCCACATACTCAATGGTAAAAGACAACGCTTCCCCCTAAGATTAGGAACAAGACAAGGGTGACCACTCTCACCATACCTATTCCAATCACACTGGAGGTCCAGCAGAGCAATTAGGCAAGAGGAAGAAATAAAAGGAATCCAGATTGATGGGAAGAAGTAAAACATTTCTGTGTGCAAATGACACAATTTTGTGTACAGAAAATTCTAAGGAACACACACACAACTATTAGAACTAATAAGTTCAGCAAGGTTGCAGGATACAAGATCAACATACAAAAATCAATTGTATTTCTACACATTAGCAATGAACAATTCAAAAGCAAAATTCAGAGAACACTTGCATTTATAATAGCATCAAAAAGAATAAAATACTTAGGAATAAATTTAACAAGAGTAAAACTTATACACTGAAAACTACAAAACATTGTTAAAGACCCAAATATGTGGAAAGATATCAGAAGTTCATGAATCAGAAGATTTAATATTAAGATAGCAATACTTCCCAAAGCAATCTAAAGATTCAGTGCAATCCATAGAAAAATCTGTTTGTTTGTTTTGGCAGAAATTGAGAAGCTAGTACTAAAATTCATTTGGAAATATAAGGGGATCCATAATAGCCAAAATGATCTTGAAATAGAACAAAGTTGGATGACTCACACTCATCAAATTCAAAACTTACCACAAAGATACATTAATCAAGATATTTAAGTATTGGCATAGGATATATGGGTCAATGAAATAGAATTGAGAGTCCAGAAACAAGCCCATACATGTATGGTCAATTGATTATCTATAAGGGTGTCAAGATAATTCAATGGGAAAAGAATATTCTTTTCAACAAATGGTGCTGGGACAACTGGATGTCCACATGCAAAAGAATGAAGCTGCACCCCTTCTTCACACCATATACAAAACAGCTCAAAATGGATCAAAGATCTACATATAAGAGCTAAAACTATAAAACTCTTAGAAGAAAATATAGATATAAATCTTCATGACCTTGGATTAGGCAATGGTTTCTTAGATATTACACCAAAAAAAAAAAAAGAAACAAAAGAAAAAACAGATCGATTGTGCTTCATCAAAATTAACAATATTTGGGCTTCAAAGAACACTATCGAGAAAGTGAAAACACAGAAAGGGAGAAAATATTTACAAATCATATAAGAGTCTAATATTCAGAATATATAAAAAAACTCTTACAACTCAAGATGAATAATCCAATTACAAATATGAAAGATTTGAATAGATATTTTAGGGCCGACCCTGTGGCGCACTTGGGAGAGTACAGCGCTGGGAGCACAGCGACGCGCCCGTCGTGTGTTCGGATCCTATATAGGAATGGCCGGTGGCTGAGGGGCGACACCACACCAAGGGTTGCAATCCCCTTACCGGTCATGAAAAAGACAAAAAAAAAAAAAAAAAAAAAAAAAAAAAAAAAAAAAAAGATATTTTTCCAAAGAAGATAGAGAAATGGCGAATAAGTACAAGAAGATGCTTAGTATCATTAGTTATTAGAAAAATACAAATCAAAACCACAATGAGATACCACCTCACACCCACTAAGATGGCTAAAATTAAAAAGACAGATAACAAGTGTTGGAAGAAATGTGGACTAATTAGAACCTTCATAAATTATTGGTAGAAATACAAAACGGTGTAGCCACTTTGGAAAACAGTTTGATAGTTCTTCAAAAAGTTAAACCTAGAGTTACTACATAAACCAGCAATTCCACTCCTAGGTATATACTCAAAAGAAATGAAAACATCTATCCACACAAAAACTTGTACACAAATGTTCATAGCATTATTCATAATAGCTAAAAAGTGGAAACATGAATGGACAAACAAAATGTGGCACATCTATATCCTGGAATATTATTGGGCAATTAAAAAGGAATGAAGCATTGACATGTTATGACATGGAAGAAACTTGAAAACATTATTCTAAGTGAAAGAAGCCAGAGACAAAAGGCTATGTATTGCATGATATCATTCATATAAAATGTCCAGAAAAGGCGAATCTAGAAACAGAAAGTACATTAGTCGTTGCCAGGGACTGGAGAGAGGGAATGAGGAGTAACTGCTTAATGACTACACGGCTTCCTTTTAGGGTGATAGGAAGTTCTAGAACTAGATGGTGGTGGTGGTTGTACAACTGTGAATGTACTTACTGCCTCTGAATTGACACTTTAATAGGGCCAATGCTAAGGTATGTGAGTCATATCTCGGTGCAGCTGTGACTAAGAAACCAAGAAGAACGAGGAAGTTCTGTGACCTGATGCGGAACCGTCACCAAGACAATCTGTGAAGCTGGAAATGCAAGGTTCAAACGGGGTGAATGGTTCACTTTGCGTTTGTGTAAAAAACGGCATTTGCATAAAAGTGTGGGCTTTCCCAGAGTTCTTTGGAGTGGTCCCCTCCTGAGGAGGAGACTGGGGAAGGGGTGGGGCCCACGCATGCTCCGAAGGCTGAGCTGTGTGTACTTTCCACTGTTCCTGAACAGTATATCACAGGACACACAGGCCTTACAAGAACTTGCAAGCTGCCCCATGGAGGACAGTCTACCCGTGTTCACATCCCTGGGCTCCAAGGGCCTCTTCTGCAAGGCCAGACCCATGACCAGATGGCGACAGCCCCCCATGGTAGGAGAGAGGCCACACCTCCAGGACATTTTAATGTACCACTTCCTTACGTTAAACACACGCAAGAACAGGCTGCGGTTACTGCCCAGACCCGTGCCCACTCTCGCGTCCTAGTGCACTGTCAGAAGGGGAAGAGCTGATGACCCAAAGGGCCTATGGCACACCTGGCCGGTGCTCTAATTCAGTGCGTAGTTAAACTGGTTTGAGAACCGCTCGTGCTTTTTCCGGTCCATCTGGTTCATGGCCGCAACCACTCTCCGCACAGCTGCCCTGTGGGGAAAGCACAGCAAGACGGGATCAGAGGCTCCAGCCAGGGCTCTGGCTCCTGACCGTGGCCTCTCTGGGATTGGACCCTGGTGCTGAGGCAGCGGCTGCACTCGGACACTTGCAGACTTCCTGTGGGTGCCACCTTCAGAGCAGCCCTGTCCCAGCGAGAACGTACAGTCCCAGTGATGGGAGTCCACGGTGGGTTCTATCCCAGGAGAAGACAGCAAGGCTGTGCCCTGGCACTTCTCCTGTGACTGCCCCCAGCCCTGAAGGCAGCTGCCAGGATCTCCAATCTTGCCAGCACCGGCTGCACCCTTGAATGGCACAGCCTGCCCCACGACCTCATGGAGATCAGCCACGGGGTAAGCGTGTTCGGAAGTGTCAGGTTCACAGTGCCCACCTCGCTCTCACAGCGGCACACACACCTCCACACCCAGAGCTGAGGGAATACTCATGAACGTGTAGCAGAAAGATGGCATGAGGCCGGCGTGGTCACGGCCTCCCAACCCCACTCCAGTGAGAACAAAGGGTGTGGTGCTGACCAGCTAGGGTGCTGTGTCACAGGACGGTATGGACTCAGTAGGGTCCTGGCAAGGCTGTGGCTGCTTGGACAGTGAGCCTGGGGCTCACAGAGACTGTGTCTGAGCAGTGTGGGAACCACCTTCCTCCCCAGCCCCACTCAGGCCAGAATGCAGCCACGCAGGACAGGAGGGCAGGCAGTGGCTCCTCCGCCTGGTGCGCTTAGCACCTTCCAGGCGCATCCAAGGAAGGGGCCTTCAGGGCTGGCTGTGGCTGCCTGACCCAAGGTCCCAGCACAAACCTGCAAAGGGAGGCAAAAGCCTCGTGGTCTCCTAAACTCAGTCTGAGTATCTTCTGTGGCCAAACGAGTCGATGAGAAAAAAGAAAAGCAGCGCCTTGAAGGTGGCTGGCACCTCTGGCCAGCAGACAGTGGGGGCTGGGCTGGTGGCCTTTCTGCTCTGGCCCCGCTGTGGCCCCACTGACCATGCCAGCACGGAGACACCAAGGAACTGGGGCTGGGCTCAGCTGCCAGCCTGTACAGTCACTGCCCACTCCGATGTCACCACGGTGGCACTGCCAGGCCAGTGCTGGCCCATCTAGGTCTGCTGGGTGAGAGAGAAGGCTCGCCCTGGGCCCAGAGCCCTGTTCTCTGTGCCCGACTGCTGCCAGGCCGTGAGTATGCTTGGGAAGGATGCTCAGTCACATCCAACTCCAGCTGCTGCTCCTGATGAGCCCCACTGACCCTGCTGGCTGAGACCCCCTCCTTTGGGAAGAGGGCCTCCAGGGAGAAGCTCACAGGGGAGGACTCCCAAGTTCCTGGAACTGGAGCTCCCTCGGCTCTCCTCAAAAACCCACAAATTGAGGGCCAGCCTGTGGCTCACTCGGGAGAGGCGGTGCTGATAACACCAAGGCCACGGGATCCTGTATAGGGATGGCCGGTTTGCTCACTTGGGTGAGCGTGGTGCTGACAACACCAGGTCAAGGGTTAAGATCCCCTTACCGGTCATCTTTTAAAAAAAAAAACCACCCCCCCAAATGGAGGGCTCAGGGGTGGGGAACCTAGGCGAGCAGCTCTTACTTGGCGAAGACTTTCTTCCCGAGGCGTGCCCGGGCAGTGTCTGCCTGCTGCGTCAGGTCGGTGAGGTGGGGGTGCTGCCGCCGCCTCTTCGTTCTGCCCTTCCTGCCGAGCCTGGATGAGCCCAGGTCTTCCCCCGTGGCTGCCTCCACGTCTCTCACAAACTCGGGGTCCTGCCAGCCTGGAAACAAAACTCAAGGACTTCAGAAAATACTTGGCACCAACCAGACTAGGCCTCTCATCGAGGCCTCCCTACCCCAGGCGGGGACCTTGCCCACCTCAGGAGGGACCTTGCACTTCTTGTCTCTGGCAGAGGCCAGGCGGGCTGCCTGCTGCCACACCCCAGTGCAGGCTGAGGGAAGGTCTGTGCTGGCCGTTCCCACTGCCTGGCAGCCCCCTCGGGCCGGGAGGAGCCAGAGCTGGGCCCTGAGGCCACTCCTGGTGTATCCAGGGACCCCTCAAGCAGGAAGGTGGCCAAGGCCAGTAGCCGGGGCTTGGTGCCATTCACAGGCTACTTCCTGCTTGTGGGCTGGACTGTGCACACCTAGCCACGTGTGGCCCTGCCGGATATGCCTGCTGGCTGGTGGGCATCACAGTGGGCTGGCCAGGGCCGAGGGGTGAGGGTCGGCCTGCAAGACAGTCATTAAAGGGCTTTCTTCTTCCTTGGTCCAGAGGTAAGTGGGCCCGGGGCCCCAGAAATGCAGGGTGTGGGTTCTCTGGACAGTGCTTCCTTCCCAAGCGAGACGAGCGCTTTCTGCTGTGGCTGCGAGGCACTCTCTGGCTGTCTGCTGATCGGCAGGCCTGAGAGTGTTAGCTACGTACGCAGCATCAAGCCTCCTGGGCAGCTACTCCCCTCAGCCTGCTGGTCTGCCCCTTGAGGCCGCTGTAGGGGCCTGTCAGACTTGGCATTGGTCCAGCCTGGCTTGGGAAGGTCCCCCCACATGAGGAACGTGACAGCCAAGCAGCCCCGATGTGCCCAGGCCTGTGGATGACCCTGGCGTGCAGGGGGTGCTGGACACACCACACCCCAGTGGCATCCAAGTGTGCACACAGGACCCTGGGAGCTGGGACAGGGGGCCAGGAAGCAGCACCAGGATCAGAGCCAGGCCGAGGCCACGCTGAGAGGAGGGCACGTCCAGGGAGGGAGGGAGCTGCACGCCCCAGATAGACGGATGGCGGGTCCTCCCCAGGCTGATTTTTTGAAGTGAAGGAATACGGGCCCGCACAATTCAGATACAGGAACGATTAATCCAAGATTAAGGAAAACTGTCTAAACAGTTTATCTCCCAGTAATAAGAAGGCGTCACAGTTTAGGAACCCAGTGAATGGAGCAATTGTTTAAACACAACGAAAGAATGCCGGCACCCGGTGGAGATGGAATGAGCATCTCAGGAAAATGAAGGAGCAATTTAAGAGCCTTTGAAGAAAATCAATAGGCACCGGGCCACGCGGCCTTCCCGACGCAGACGCCCGGGAGCGCAGTGCACATTGTCACTGAGGTTAGCACCAGGGAAAAGAAAATTGCCCTGTGTGTGAGGGAGGCGGGGATCGATACTGTCGTTAGTAAAGAGACGCTATTTCACATCTGACTGGCCAGTGCCGCCCGCAGCCCGTGGCCTGATACCTGTTTGTTAACAAGTCACCAAGGGCTGGAAAACCAGATACTCTTCAGGGTTGACACAAAAAATAGGCACTTAATTTGCTCCTGAGTGTGAGCCACCAGGGAAAGCCTCGCCCCGAAGATTAGCAGGTCAGAGCCCCCGTCCCCCTCCACCAGCCATCCAGGGCCCAGGCCCAGGTGCTGTCTCTGGGCGCCAGGCTAAAATCTGACACTTGTCTCTTATGACCAAAGTGCAGAAAGCCCATGAAGAACGACAGAAATGGTGTGAATGGGACCTCTGAAGCACACCAGCGCTGCTCCTGCAGACACCGCGTGCCTCCCACCCTGGCGAGGGCGGGGCCTGCAGACGCGTCTCCTCTTTAGAAGGGATGCAGCCTAAGGCTGGACGGAGCTTCCAAAACAAAAAAATTATCCCAAGGAAACGGACACAAACCTAGCAGGGGTTGAACAAGCCACAGGGACGAGACGTGTCAGAACTGTCTCTGGGGACCCAGCCTGGAGTGGGGCAGGGTGGTGGGTGGGCTCTCGCAGGTGACAGTGCTTCTGCGCAGCTCAGCATCCACCCTGCTGCTCAGGGGCTTCTGGGGACTGGGAGGCCAGTGCAGGGCACCCAGCAGGCCACAGCCTGCACCCTGAAGACAGCATGATGCCCATCCCCACATGGGACAAAGCAACCACCTGGCATGAGAAGGAGGGAGCGAGCTGGTTTCCCTTGAGCTGCTTGGAGCCAGTCAGTTACCTTCTCCTACCTCTCGTCTTTCATCTGCTTAAAAATCCAACCACACAGATGGTAACGTGGTGGTTTCTGGGCCCTGCTGTGTCCACTTCGAGGTCCGGAGGCTCATGAAAACAAGGCTCCACTAGAAGCCTGAGCATCCTGGAAGCCCCCCCACCCAAGTAGCCCCCCACTTTGGGCAGTCCCCCACTTTCATCAGTTACAATGGAGGTGCAGGTGCTCCGTGACCATATGGAGACACCCTGGGCTGCCCGTGGAGGTGGGCTCTAGGGCTGAGCCCCCAACCAGACCTACCCGAGCGTTCCTGCTCCTGCAGCTGCCGCCTCTGCTCCCGGGCCCTGTCCTCCGGGTCAAGAGGTCGCCCCTCGTCGTCTCTCGGGATGATCTTCCCATGGAAGGGGCACTGCACAGCAAGGACAGGGTGGCTGACGGTGGGGCGAAAGCTGCCCACCCGCCTCGTCTCCACCAACTTCAGCTTGCTGGCACAGATGGTTCTCGGAGGGGGCACTGCTGCCCTTCAATCATGCCCCCTCGAAAGCAGGGGGATCTGGGAGCTGCAGGGAAGGGGAAGCAGCTCCGTCCTCCCTCCAAGACCTGGGAGCACTGCAGGCAGCAGAGGGGCTGGGGCCTTTCGTCAGTTTGGCCCAAGCAGCCTCCCCTCACAATGTTCCCGACGGCCTGCCTGGGAGCTGCTGGCCCAGCCTCTCCTGACGCCCTCCCACCCAGAACCGCAGAGGTTGGGGATGCCTGCTTCCTCATTGCTGAAGAATCCAGGCTCAGCACAGAGCAGGTCTCTAGCTGCTGCGGAAGGACACGTGGTAAACCAGTGGGCATATGCTAAGCACTGTGGCCCTTGGAAAGCAGCCCAAATCTGCACCCAAATGTCAGACTGCAGGGCTGAGGGCAGGGAACCTGGACATGATTCTCTGACAGCCGCGCACAAGCACCTCCCATGGGGCTGCTCATGCTCACAAGTGTCCCCAGCCCAGGGCAGGGATGGGTGGGGATCTGCCCAACCCTGACTGCCCTGTCCTGGCCCAGCCACACCCACAGGCCCCATGGCCCTCGCCCGCCCACAGCCACCAGCCTCACCTTCAGCCGGTCTTGGCGCTCACAGAGCCGGCCATCTGGCCTCAGGGCGCGGCACCGGTGCTGCACAGGCTCGAACTTTCCCGCAAAGGTGATGTGGCGGCTCCGGAGCATCTCAGAGACGTATGCACTGTCTGCTTCCTCCTCTACCTCGCTAGGCTTCCAGAAGCGGTGCTGAGAGTCGGATCTGCAAAGCAAACCACAGACCCTCAAAGCCCGCCGGCAGGGACCGAGGAGTGTAGCCACCCTGGGTCCAGGCGTGGGGGAACATGGCCCAATCCCACTGCACCCTTCAACCCTGTCCCTTGACCCTGGGAGAGCACTGGCCCCTTGAGCTGACCCCTGAGGCCTCCCCAGGCTGAAGAAGACAGTCACTCCAGCCAGAGTTCGAATCCTGACACAGCATGCAGAAGCCTCAAAACCCCAACACGACTGCCACCTCGGGGCTCAGGTTCTCCTTGCAGAGTGGGGACAACAGCTGCCGGACTCTCAAGGCATGACCCTGAGGTTAATACAACAACCACATCAAGGTCACCTTCACCACTGAGGGGTGCGGACGCAGGCTGTGGTGGCTGTCGTGGTGCCAGTGCACCCGAGAGGAAGAACCTGCCACACAGCCGTGGCAGCAGTGCTACGGGACAGAACTGCCACACAGCCGTGGCAGCAGTGCTATGGGACAGAACCAGAGAGTTTGTCCCTATTTTGCAAGTTTTGGGTAATGTGCTCTGTTACAGTCACCAACCTCATTAAAGACGCTTTTCTGCTGATGCCAGAGAAGCCAGGGTCAGGTGCATCTGAGGACACAGCCCCTCCCTGCTCACCTGGGTGCTGCTGCCCTGAACCCAGGTGTGGGGAGGGTGGGGTCTGAGAGGTTCTCCCAGGGCCCCAGCTGCACTTAGTGCCAGCACTTCAGGCCATCCCAGCCAGGGCTCCTGCAAGCAGGACCCTCTTCACACAGCACACAGTGGGGGCTCAGGGGATGTTGGTGGATAGACGGGTGGTGGTGCTGAGGGCTCCCAGGTAACCACAAAAACCAGCTGCAGCTGCCTCTCCACATGGCGACACTCCCCCACACCCATGGGTAGCTCCCAGTTCTGCCCACCGAGGCCCATGGCTCCCACGCCGCACCACAGGGAAAGCCGACCTAGACAGAGCCTTGACATGTGGCTGGAGAGTGCCCAGCATGTGCCACACCAGCCTGGGGCAGGACACACAGTGCCCATGGAGGGTGCCTGGCTGCCTGGTCAGAAGAACACCATCCTGGCAGCTTCCCGATTCCAGAGGCAGTGACGTGCTCAGCCACCTCAAGTTTGTGACAGGTCAAGACGCCCTTGTGGATTGCTGGGCGGGAACATTCGAGAGTCGGCATACAGTGGCCCTCACCACCGGGCCTTGCCAGCGAGGATGCTGGGATGCCCTCCCTCTGGCCGAGGTCCCCCAGCCTTCTGAGTACAAATGCCAGCTCAGTCCCAACAGGCCAGCTCGAAGGACAGCCTTTCCAAATAGGCTGTGGTGGAAAGAGATGGTTTCAGAGCCCAAAGCCTGGCCCTGCTGGCCCTTCCCCCTGTGAGATCTGGAGCCTTGTCTTCATGACCTGTTGGGTAAAAGGCATGAGCCTGGTGCTCCCCAAGGTCCCCGGGTGCTGGACATGAGCCAGAGGGTACAACACGATCCACCTGGTGAGAGGTGTGGTATGAGCAGCCGTACCGGGCAGGGCACCACCCTGAGAATTGTCACCCTCGGCAGCCCACACACACACACAACTGGTTACTGGCACACGCATGTGCTGAGGAACCCACACCGAGCAGCCAGCCCACGTGCCACAGCCCACTCAGCTGACGTGGTGGCAGTGCGTGCGTGCAGGGATGGCCCTGGCCTGTTCCCTGCAGATGTACCCTCAGGCCCTCCTCTGTCCTGCCCCCAACCCCACAGGACCAGAGGAGCAGGTTCAGAACCAGGCCTTGAAGGACAGTGGCCCAAGCTGTGGATGAGGCCAGGATGTGCATCTCTGACTCGCTGTCCCAGTCCTCACGTGTCAACCCAGCAGAAACTGGGAAGAGAAACAGCCTCGCAGGCAGATCAGCCAGGACAGCTGGGCACATCTAGTCTGTCCCTGGGTATCCAGAAGCAGGGGCAGTGGGCGTGCCTGGCACACAGTAGTCCGAGGTGTTGCTGCACCAGCAGTACACATGCTGAACCTTGCTTTGTTCTCTTCCTGCCCCCATCCCCTCTGGAAGTCCTCAGCCCCTGCCATCCTCCTGGTTTTTGGTGTTTGCAAAGGCAGCCACAGTCCTCGGGCTCAGCAGCAGCCGGGTGTGGGGAAGCAATGCTTCCCATGTCAAAATCAGCTTCTTCAGGGCCGGCCCGGTGGCGCACTGGATAGTGCGCCGCTTGGGAAGCGCGGTGGCGCTCCTGCTCGAGGGTTCGGATCCCACATACAGACCGGTTCCCGCTCACTGGCTGAGCGAGGCATGGGGGCGACGCTGAGGGTTGCAATCCCGTTGCCGGTCCCCGGTCCGGTACGGGGGCAACACTGAG